TATTGTGTTCCCCAAAATACTGTGTACCTTAATAAACTTATCTGGGGTCAGAGAACAGAAAAGCCACTAGTTAGGCAGTGATAGCACACACCTTTAATCCTAGCATTCCAGAGGCAGAAATCCATCTGGGATCTCTGTGAGTTCAAGGCCACATTGCCAAGAGCCAGGCATAGTGACTCACACCTTTAATCCCAGGAAGCAAGCTCTTAATCCTAGGGAGTGAGGCAGAAAGCAGAAAGGTATATATGGCGTGAGGACCAGAAACTAGAAGCATTTGGCTGGTTCAGCATTCAGGCTTTTAAGCAGCAGTTCAGCTGAGAGCCATTGGGATGAGGACACAGAAGCTTCCAGTCTGAGGAAACAGGACCAGTTGAGGAACTGGCAAGGTGAGATAGCTGTGGCTTGTTCTGTCTCTCTGATCTACCAGCATTGATCCCAATAACTGGCCTCGGGTTTGATTTTATTAGTAAGAACCTTTAAGATTCATGCTACAAACAATATTGTCTATACCCAAAAGGCATTTCATCCAGACATCTATAGAACTCAGAAAGTAATTCAATCTATTTCTTTATAACTTAAAATTAGAAAGAAAAGCATGATCATCCAGACTCATGTAAGTAAAAATTATTGAGTGATGAAATTCAGTCTTAAATGACAAATGCTATATGTTCTCTTTTTCGCAGGTTCCTAATTTCAAATCTTCAGATGTAAGTACATATCCTGGAGTAAGAACATAAAGCCAAAGAGTTACATCAGAATAGGGAAGGGTACTGATATGTTATTTTGACACAAGTAACAGTAATCTGAGATGACTGAAATTCAATTGAGAGAATAAATACAGAAGATTGGGATGTAAGAAGAAATACCTGCAATCCAATTTCTTAATTAGTCATGAATGGAGGAGGACCAGGATACATTAGTTAGGAACATCACTGGGTTGGTGGTTCCATCAGTGTATAAAAAACAGGCTGAAAAATCATAACAATTAAGCCAATAAGCTGCACCCCCTCCATTTCTTCTGCATCAGCTCCTGCCTCTGGGTTTCTGCCCTGATTATTTCTTTTTCTGACTTCTGTTGACAAAGGACAGTGTTATGGAACCATAAGTAAAATAAACCCTTTATTTTACAACTTACTTTTGGTCATAGTGCTTATCACAGCAATTGTTACCCTAAGACTAAAATCATTGCCAGGATAGGGAGATTGTGGAACAATACATGATGTAATATCAGGGTACTAATGATCTGATCAAAGAATGATAAAGGGGGCTTTCAGAATGGGGAGGAAGGTGACTACAAAAGAAAGAGAAAGGAAAATAAAATAACAATAAGAATGTCTGAAAGTGTGGCCAGGCAGTGGTGGCGCACACCTTTAATCCCAGCACTCGGGAGGCAGAGCCAGGTGGATCTCTGTGAGTTCGAGGCCAGCCTGGACTACCAAGTGAGTCCCAGGAAAG